CTAAGACATTTAAATTTAAATGTGTACACATTAAATGCAGAACTACTGAAACCAGTTAGAAAATAATCCTGTTTTTTCTTACAAAATAACTGATCATGAGAAAAACAGACATGAAAATTTATTTAGACTAAATTAGAATGTTAAAAATTCTGTAATATTGACCCATATAATCTATTGTCAGTACTTCTCATAGGACAAATATTTTCCTTGAAGTCTCAGGTAAATACAGTACACATACGCCTAAGTAACTGAAAAAATGCAAAAGGCAGGAGTCAATCTGATAAAGCAATTTCTATGTTGATGCTGATTGCAGCTTGGTTTCCAATCATCTTTGGGCTTTTATTTTGCAGGTGTATGGTCTGGGTGCAATTTGTGCTGCAGAAAAAAAGCCATGCAGTTTTCAGGACATAGTTCTCTGTGCTAGGAGATAATGTCAGATGGGTCTGCTAGAGCGTTTTTTTGCTAACCTGGAAAATTCACCAGCATTGACTCTTATCACAGAAGTAAATGGAACAATCCAGACTGAAGGGCTGAACCTGGCCTTAAGGCTGATTATTACAATGATGTTCTGACAAAACACGGGATTCTTCTGCATTTTGCCCCTGTATCAAGTATAGCCTGTTACTTCCTTCTTCCATAGGAAAACACAGTAAGGATTACAATATTACATTCTTTATTGTTTTCAACATTTTAGTGATCTTTCTGAATAAAACTAAAGGGTCGGGGGAATTAGCTACCTTAAGTGCTGATAATGAGATTTAAAGTGTCAAGAGTGCAGAGAGATAGCCAAATTTTCCCACCATTATAAATAATACTATGCAACTTCACACTAATACTGTACTTCCTTACTCAGAGCTGTCTGCTAAGCTAGGAGGGACTGCGTGCATGTGTGAGCAGAGGCTTTGCTGCACTCTGCACAGCTGGACTTGCGACTATGTGCACTTTTAGCTTTTCCAGAATACCAGGTACTGCAAAGATCTGGAACACAATGGCATTATGATAATGCAAGTTCCTGTATTAATCCCAAATGTCAGATAGTAACTTTTTTCAGGAATACATTTTACAGAGTTCTCAATGCCATCTGGCAGAAAAACAGTTTTATCCTAGTATCTTCAGGTTGGTTTTGGGCTGTTGCTGTTTGGTTTTTGTTTTTAAGAGACTGATTTGCAACTGCAGCTGACTGGCAGACATGGTAATGGAGTGCTTCTTAACTTTCTTCTCCCTTCTGAAAGACAAATGCCTACTAGCAAAAACCCAATGGGCACACCTTTTACTGAATAGGTAAAGTAAATGCAGGTATTATCGTCCTCCTGTTACTGTTCAGTTATTAATTCCATATGTAAAATAGTGCAAATGGGAGGAAAAGGCTGAGCCCTTGCAAGACATGCAAGAAAAAATACGCAACACTCACTTCAGAACATTATAACAAAATGAGCTAGTGTATTTTATTTTGGGTAACAGCCAAGAAATCTGACATTTTGCCCAATATGGCTTTCTTCTAAAGTTAGAAAGTTGCATATACCTACAGTTGAGTCCACCAGCTACAGAAAATCTGCTCTATGCATCTTTAATCCATGTCAACATCACCAAGAATAGAGCTTTCAGTGGAGTTTTCAAGCTGAATTATAAGATAGAAGTTTTAAAATGTTCATTTAGAAGATTTTATATTGTTTATATGAAAACATACAAATTTTTCATTTATACATATACTACATATAAAACTCATTGTAATCAGTATCTTCATCTGGGTATTTACCTTTGTGCATATAGCGAAAAAAGGACGTAGTTAGGGCTTCAGATGAAATATTAAATTCAATACCTTTGTATATGTTAACTAAAACCTTATTTGAATAACAACTCAGATATTTTTTCCTGCTTTTAAAGAGAAGAGATTCAGTTTAAAAATACATTCATAAAACAAAGAGACAATTTTCTCCCTGAGACTACCAGTATGAGTTATTTTGTGGTAATCTTTGAAAAAATATTTTAAAAGACATTAAGATGTAGTTTTCTATATGCTGCAGCAAATTTCATGAGCAACACTAGCATCATAAAAAGACTGGAGAATCATGCTCACTAGCTGAAAAAACATTTTCATATATCAGTTTAAGAAGAAGAAAAAACTTTAATGTAGACAAGGGAAAGTAATTAAGTTTTAATGAAAGATCTGTATCTGTAGTATGTATAAATGGGAAAAAGTTGGGTAGTGGGTTTTCGTGGGTTTGGGTTTTTGGGGTTTTTTTTGCATTTCAGACATGTATTTTATCCAAAGCAGGGTTATATGCTCAAATTGCAGATTTTTGATTTATGCAGAGATACTCAGTACAGTATTATAAATGTTTCAAGCATCTGTTTTTCTTAATATTCACAAAAGAAATACATAACTTGTGGGAACAGCTTCTGATGAAATTTGATGAGAAAATGTTTGATTATAACTAGATGGCAAAGTCTCATGGGCAACAGGTGAGGAGTCAACCCCCTCCGCAATGAACAGCTCCTGGTTTGTGGCTTTTTTCATCCTCTTGTCAAAATCACTCTGCTCTGAAGGCGAGCAGCTACACTAGTTTGGATTTATTTCACACTCTTCTTTTTAAATGTTAGAAAGAGACAGTTTTTAAACTGCTACAAATTAACAGAGTAGAATTGGGATGCATTAAACATATCCTGCCCAAACCAGCAAGAGATACATACTTTTTCCTTTTACAGTTTAAATTGTATTTATAGTAACCATGCAATTATGTTATTTTCTGGGGAAAAGCCTTTCCTGAAATCAAAGAAAACACATTTATAGGAAAAAGGGGGGAAGCATTATGTTTGTTCTACCAAAATTTATTATGTAGTCATTACAAAGTTTAAAGATTCTCTCATTTTAATGAATTCTCTCATTTTAAATAAAAATAATAGTTATAATTACGCTATATAGTACCATGTCAAGTGATTCCAACAAATATAACATGAAATACAGTGCAGTTTCAAATCAGAAAGACAAATACTTTCTCATTCACAGTGTTTGACAAATTACAGGAAATCTTGTTCACATGAGGGTTTACGTAAGGTCATGCTCTTATAAACAGTCTGCGCTGTGCCACAAAAACAACTCATCTCTCAGAACGTGAAGTATCGGGCAAGCCACTCCTGGCGTTGTGGATCTGGTGAAGCCACTGGTGAAGCATCAGTCTGAGGAGGGCTAAATTCACAGAAAGAAAAAAAAAAAACCACAATTATCTCACAACTACATAAAAAGTACAAATGTTAGGAGCAAAGAAGACCTCACAGACAACATTCAGTAAAGAATGCGTGTTTTCCATGGATTCATTCTCAGTGTGTCTCAGGACATGATTTAATGTTTCCCTATAGAATCTGTGATCATCCACTCCATTGGAGAGCATCAGCAGCATGGACAAGTCAGTTCAGAAGCCACATTACAGGGTGGGCAAATAATATTTTGGAAAACATAGTTTAAAGTCTCATAAACGGCTGTACGTTTTCAGGAAGAATAAAAAGGGTTTTCTTGGAAAAGCGTGTCTGGTCCTCTTTTAGCATCCTTTTCCTGTGGTAAAGTTAATTTTCAAAAATATGATGCGAGCCATCATATTTGTAGACATGTGCTCATGAAGACTGGTTGCCAACTGAACAAATATTCACACTATTTTAATACTTAACACCAATCACCAATATCATTCACATTGTTATTCATGCACATATTTAAAATATGCTAATATACTAGGGAAAAAACTGCTGCACTGCGAACAAGATTTGATTCCCCCTTGAACAATTAAAATCCTCACAAAATGAGCAAGAGAGAATAACTTCAAGTTAATTAAACAATTAAGTTCCTTTATCAATAAAAATCAGTAATAAAATAATCCCTACTGTATTACTGGATAATACAGAACACAAACCAATTTGGAATAGAAACTCCAGCATCACAGTCCATGCATTCATGCACATGCATGTTACAGGTATCTGAGCACACTCATGCACATCACATGCACAGGAAAAAATAAGCAACAGTACTTTTTTTTTTTTTTTTAAACAGATCATTTTCTTCAAATAAGATTGTTTTCCCTTTCTACTTTAAAGTCTATTATTTGTTTCCTTTTATAATTAGTATGGGGTCTATTGTGTTAAACCAGAGGAGAGAGTAAACAACCAGCTGTGGAAGTGGTAATTACACATAGCTTTAATTTGCCAACTTAGAGGTAAGAGATCAGCAGCTACTAAATACAGAGTACAGAACTTCAGTGCATTTAATATGTAGGCACATAAAGCCAAAAGATTAAAATCCTGCCTCTAAAATGCCATTTTGAAGTTAATTAATTAACTAATATTTTGTGAGATAATTACTTGAGACTTTAATGCTGGTTTTGGTTACTGGATGCTGCTCAGCATTAAGCATCTAAGCATGCACATTTCCTGTTGCTGTAGTAAGGTTACTCCTATGAAACAATTTGATATAGGCAAGGAAAGGGGAAACACAAAACATTAATGTAGCACAAAAAAATAGTTTTACAGAAAAACCATTATCACATAATACTGAATAAAATAAATTCTATGCTAATATCAATTCCTAAATGACAATCAGTAAATAACACAAACATTAAAACAATTGTTCATATCTGTAAACAATTGGAAGCACATGAATTCTGTTAAGGTATCTAAAGAGGTTTTCAAAGTTCAAGACTTATGAAAAAGTGAGAGAATACTTCACATTTCAACAAGGTCTACAATAAAAAGGAATACTATAAAGAGGTTACAAATATAATGTAAAAATTAAAAATGCCATAAGAGTACTTGTACCTCTGAAAGGTTCATAAAGCAAGTGGGATTCAGCTCAAGAGGAATGCAAAATTTTCCTGAGTTAAGCAAAAAAAATAAAATAATAATAAAAAAAAAGATTGGTGAGGCAGTGCTCACCTCAAAAACGTCTTGGGCTCTTTGGGTGGCATTGGCTGTGGTAGTGGTTTGCTGCTGTTGAACTCAATATCGTGGATGGGTGAGTTAGGAATGGGGTCCAGGCGGTTAGGATGTCCATTGCCCACCACTCCGCTAGATTCCAGAGCACTTAGATTGGGGACACTCACAAACCTGTTTGTTGATTTATCGTTCTTCTTCTTTTGCTGCATTAAAAATAACAAATGTAAGGAAGGCTTCTTGCACCAGGACAGATGAGGAAATTTGCAAATTTGAAAGCTGTATTGATGGCTGATTTGGGGTTTTTTTGAACGAGACCAATTGGGACAGATTGGGCTTTTCTTCCTACTCTAGTTTTACTATTTGCTTTGACCAGAACCGAACACCACAAATTTTCACAGAAAAATCAAATTTCTGATGAAGTTGATTAAGTTGTTAAGACTTAGTATAATAATCAATTAATATATTATAAGAGATCTTCCAATATAACCTTTTGCTCTAAGACATTGGAGATAGGAAGTCTTCCACAAAATTGTCGTTTAGTCTGTTAAACCTTTCATGTTTACTTAAATCTTTCCTCGATATCAGTGAAACAGCTCTGCTGTCAAATGTAATTACAGCATATTTCAGTGACAAAAAAGTGAATCTCTCCAACAGGTTTCACCCCATCACTGAGGCATGTTTTGGTAACTGGAACATGGAACCTAGAAGAGCAGCTACATTTATTTTAAAGCAATTACACCCTCATAGTTAGTGAGCATTATATCAATACTGCTAAAGAGAAAAAGATTATTGTTTAGGAGTTCAGTTTCTTGTACAAGTAAAAGGCCAAGCTTCTAACACTACTACAGCTGCCACTTCTAGACACCAGATGGCACAACTGAACACTTTTGTTTTCTTAATACTCTCTACTCCTACTGGTAATATTTATTTCAAAGGACTCAAAATACTTAAGAATGTTATTTTTATATCATTATTTTACTCTCCACAACACATCGTGCAAAGGAATCAGTATTTATTCTCTCTAGTTTTACGGAAATTTAAATATAGAAGGATGCTTCAAATAATTCTATAGCTTTTTTAAAGTAGCTGTGACAGAATGCCAGGTGTATTTTCTGACTTCTATCAAATATTCCATGTCTGCAATAAAATATTAATATTTTAAAAGCCTTTTTTCAGAAAATAAAATTTTCAAATGAATTGATTATTCTCACGAATTATGTATTATTTGAATATATAATAAATACTTTCATTCAGTTACACATATGCAACCCTAACAAAGCAGCTGGGAGATAAACCTGTTATGGGCTTACAAACTACATGCATTTGAACTAAATAAAGTGAAAGACAAGTGGAATCTCGTGTTGTTTCTACATAATATTTTCCAGCAGAATTCCACTTGAAACAAAAGAGCTGCTCTATTTGAGGGTGGGCACAAGTTCAAATGGAGACAGACAGAGTTTTATTGCTTGTTTGTACTTTCTTCCACTTAGCTCTCTGCTAGCTTTGATCTCGGTGCCTGACATTTCCAAAGTTGGCAGATGTAAATACTACTAATTGTAGCCACACTGGTGCATGTGTTTATCAAAATACAATTTAAAACCCCCAACACTTTAACAGAAAGCTATAATAGAAAAAAGTCTTTTTTAAGCATCACAGTGAAAGATCATTAGCTGCAAATGATTAAACTGAGATTGTCCAATACACTTTACTACTTCTGTAGTAGCTGAGGAAGCCAGAAATAACAATATGGGGGAAAAAAATAGTTTGGAAAAAGTAACCAACTGTGTGTAAAATACATCTGCAAGGTAATATACACTGTAATTAATATGGTGTGTTAAACACTGTAGTTAAATCTGTGTGCTTCATAGGTGGCTCATTTCTGGAAATTGTATATTATCCACATAAGTGCTTAGAAAAATACTGCAGTTTATATGTTATTCTCTATAAGACAATCTATGCTTCTGAAGCAGTCAAATCTGGAAAGGCAAAATTGTAGCGTTTCCATGAAGTTCATGCAAAGTATTAAGAAACTTCAGATGTAAAATGTAATACTAAATAGATCCATTGCATAAATTAGAGAAGCTGTAATTCATACTGCAATGGCTTTAATTTTGCATTAATATGCAAAGCCTGTAGTAATTCATAAATTCTGTATTTTTATTACAAAAAAAGAAAAGAGAATGAGATTTTCAGTTTCTTTGTAATTCATTCTCCAATAACACAGTACATGCTTTGACAAAATAAAGAAACATAGTCCACAGCTCATGAAATGAGAGATCAAAATGTCCTAGCATACAAGACAGTTTTAAAGTCTAAACAGTTTTAAGTGATAGAAGCATATTATAAAAATATATGAATTATCACTATGGAAATCTGATGCTGAAGTACTTTTCCCAAACACTTCAGATTTCACACAAAGCGCAAGCTTATATACTTGATGGTTACATTTCACATCTTCATAAAGGAGTGGTTCAGACAAACTTCTGAAATTTTCAAACAACATTTATCATATAAAAATAAAGCATTCAAATTGTATCTGGCAGTCCGAGTATTGTCACTACTGGGTTCAAACTAATTTCTTTCATGTGGTTATGCATAAAAGTTAGGCATCCACAGATACGTTTGTGAGAGCTGCTGGGCTCCTGAAAAACGCAGGAGACTGACAATTTGCAGCAGAATTTGTGCAGAAGTGGGAAATACGCTGATCTGATGTAAAACTACAATAAGGTTTAGCTAGATAACACAGCCTGATCTCAAATAAAGGAGCCAGATCTCCTTTTAAATAATGGAGCCTGAGCCTTGATCACTGAAGCTCTCAGGCATCTGAGCTACTCGTGTTGTGCTCCTTGGGTTGCCCTCTGCTGCAGAACCTTCCTGAGTTCTTCTGCCTCTACAGCTGGGACAAATCTCTTCCCTTTCCATGCAGGTAAAATAACCTACGGGTTATCACATGGAGGAAGGAAATGTTAGAGGACTCATTCTTACTCCTGGGATGGTGAAAAGATATACAATTAAGTTACCCTACTGCAGTCTATTTACGTTCCTCATGAGGGAATGCTGCTGGCTTTTAAAGTGACAGGGAGTCTACTATGCCTGCTTGTACAGTAGCCTTCACTGGCTGCTATTCAGCAGGATGGAGAGAATTGGAAAAGGTTGTTACTGAAGTGTTTTCACTCATACAGGCAGTAGCAATAACTGAGAAGGCCAGAGACTGACTTCTATCTCCTGCTGCCTAGAGTTCACACCCTGTTTGTCACTCCAGTTCTCCAGTATTACTCCTGTCTCTCTCCATTCAGACTCATTTCAGGCCCTTCTCATACTTTTCCTCTTCACCTTTTTACCCTTATTCCATTCCTTTAGCATCCCTGCTCCCTCTATCTAATGGTCTTCCATCCTGAGCACCACCTAAGAAATAAAATTGCCCTTGCACTTTGCAAAATAACCAAGAAAAATTATGAAACTGAAACATTATGGGTGTCACTGTTCTCTATTATATGCTACAGTCCTGCCCTCTGTTGCCTTTCTGTCACTTCTATTTTGATTTTGTAGTTTTGTGAGAAGGAACTGTGTTTTATCTAACGTAAGTCTAGCAAATTAGGTGACAATACCAGTGGATCTCTCAACAACAGAAAAGAAACAAACCTACACAAAAATAAGTAGAGACAAATGGTAAACTATGTTCCTTGTTTGGATATGTCTTTTAGGAGTGATACATGTATACACACAGGCACATACACATCTATTTCTTCTTTTTACTATATCCTAAGTTTAGATTTCTTTTTCTTCACTTTAGCAATGAAGTCCATGGAACATACCTTCACCAATGGATTAATAACACCAACATTAGGGCTTGCATTAAACATTTTGCTGTAGTTAGTCTCCCTGTTAACTAGCTCCAGCTGACAGAACTTTTTGTCCTCCTAAAAAGAAGAACAAATAGAAACTTCTTTTTATGCATTTTCAATCAGTTAGTGGCCAAATCTGCCCATAAAGTGATCTCAAATAAATTTATGTTTACATTTTAAAGGAGACTGGTAATTCTAAAAACTGCATTTCATATTTACTATGTTTTATATATTATTATATGTAATAACCTAAATCAATTCTATTTATGCAGTTTTATGCTCCTGTGAGTGAGCACAGCCTAATGGACTATGCACTGGGAAAGATTCAGTTTAGTTAACTTCCGATCTCTAATTAATTTGAAGTTCCTCATTCCTTCTTGCTTCTGAATCAGGATCTAATCAGACCGATGAGTCAGGGTGTTATGCTCTGAATCTGGGAAGCTCAGTGGATCAGGAAATTGGTTTTAGAAACCTCACAGAAGAGACTGTTTCTTATATGGCTTAAATGGCTGATTTATTCCAGGACTGGAGATAGGAGGCATTTGATCAAGGTCATACTGAATTATTTTTTTTAATAATGTGTTATGCTGGGTTGTGCAAAACTCTTTGTATCTAATTAGTTTTACTATTATGAGTCATTGGAACCATGGGAATATTATGTTAAAAAATATGAATAACAAGCTAGCAGGAATGGTTCTTTAAATACATTTCAAACAATCTGAATGAGATAAACTTTCGTATGTGTCAAGATATTAAACCAAGAGAGCATAAAAGTCTTACAATCAATTTCTTTATGAGTTGGTCCCGCTCTGCAATTAGGTCTTTCAGTTCTGAGATAAGCTGCAGATCTTCTGGTCTTGATTCTCTGTTTTTATATTTTTCTTCCATTTCTTCTAAACTTTATAGGAAAGAAGAATACCCCCTTTAGCCTGATCCAGTGTTAAATGAAGAGCGAATAGTCACATCTTTGATTAGTATAAAAGAGAGTTCAGAAGTAAAAACAGAAGATGACTTTCTTATCACCTTGAAGTAAATGAATTTCTATGTTATCATTGAGTTTTAGGCTAGATAAAAAAAAAAACCCCACAACAATAACCATAACTAACAATCTGGGCAAAATTCTAAAATCCTAACATCCCTCTTGTGCATGCAGTACTAGGTGTTTGAAAAAAAGGCTTCTTGGAAGTCAGACTGAAAATAAAGCATTCAAAGCCATAATATGGACAGGAAAATTACAAAAAGCATAGATAAGATTGATTCTAATGTAAAATATAGGGACTACACTGTGTTGCATTTAATATTAATGTAAATTTTAAAAACTGGCAATTCACTTTCTTGATGAGGAAAACAAACAGTGTCATTTTTCTTTTTATAGATGACTGCTCTGAATAAAGATGCATGCTTGTGATACTGGAGAAACTGGATAGACAGACAAGGCTGGCACCGTCTTCCTCAGTTCATGTGGAATATACTGGAACAAAGATATCCAAGAACAGTGAAGACTAATTGGTAACTAATTCCTCTCCACAAAAGCAACTTAGTACCATTAGAGATGAAATAAAGGAATGAGCTGTAAAAGAAAAGCAATAACACTTGGATATTAGGATATCTGGATTAATAGAAATTTAACAATTGATAAACATTTGAAAAAAAATAGAAGGAAAATTGAAATGCCTGGTAGGAAAGCATTAAAGGAGAGAAGTGAAATAAGCCAACAGAGAGGAATTGTACAAGTAACTGTAAATATCCTTGTTTCTTCTTAAAGAACATGTTTTGAAGACATGACAATTTCAAATGAATGTCTCTTTGAAACATAAATTAGCTCATGATGCTAAACTCTTCCAAAGGAAACTGCTAAAACATTTGTCTCACATATTCAGCCCTCATGTAGAGAAGTGAACCAAGTGTCAGAACAGATTCAGGAAATTTAACAAATGTAATGAAAAAATAATTTTTTTAAAAAATCACAAATAAACCCTGAGAAAAATCTGTGAATTTAAGGTGTCTAAATCAGCTCAAAAGTAATTCCACAAGACACCTGGAAGTAGACATAATGATAAATATTTTCCATTCAGTAGCAAGCTATGCGATTTTTGAGTTGCATTTGAAAAAACAGTTCATATTGGGCTATATTTATAACTTTCAAATAACCTGTACATAATCTGACGAGATTATATAATGTATTTACACAAAACATTATGAATGCGAACAACATGACTGTTTATATTTGCAGAAAAGGCATTTGACTCAGCAGAACAGAAAAATGCTCAGCTAGTTTAATTTTGTGTACAGATTTTATGCTGGGTTAAACTATTGTATACAGATCCCCAGAGTACAGTACACAGTTATGAACAGCTGTCATTTTATTTTCAGGTATTTCAGAGACTGGGTTTTTTTCTGTTTCAAAGAGATAATATGTAATTTAAAGACTCTAGTTGTAGAGACTAATTAATGGTACCCACTCTCAATTACTTTAAGTAACTCTTCTGGTTTATTTTTTTACATAGTTTCTTTTTTTGATAGCTCCTTGCTTCAGTGTAAGTAGAGAAAGGTAACACACTGAAAGCCAAGTCAAGGTACCCTGGATAATGTTTGCTGTCTTCAGGCCAGTGGATGCTTCCTCATAGCTCTAAGCTGAGCAAGAACCAGGAGTAGGCAACCAGCTAAATTCAGAAAATTTCAGGACACTGAAAACCAAACAACTTAATGGAGAAAAACTTAGGGTAAACCGTTCCAAACCCTAGTTCTGATGTGTTTCTCATACAAGATAAATGCAGTAAACAAAAGGTTCTTTACGCATGATTTACTGGAAGGCAAGTTACCACATTTATCAGGGCACAGGAGCGTGCATGTGGGCAATTACAAGGATGACTGCAATTTCATACCCGTTGTATTTGAAGACAATTTCTGAGTGCTTATTATCAGGAAAGAATTAGATGCAGTTAGGCTTTATCGTCATTTTTTAATTGATACTTACTTTTAAAAGTTTCCCATCATATACTTAGAACCAATTATTTTCTCTGCCATAAATTCTTTATGCTGCAAATACAAATCCCTCACTGACAACTTTGTGTCAGGAAGTCCTCAATGCACTACGAAGCCTCAGCCAGAAACCCTGACCAAATAGTTTACATTTCACAGACAGTATGAAGACAGGAAAACACTCACTAGATGACACACTACATCAATTCTGCCCAGAGGTGGTCTAACCCCAGGTAGCATTTTGATATGAAGACACTCTTAAGTATTCTTTTATGCTCATATAATCAATTTCAGACACTAATTTTCTTTATGTTAGCAAACCTGAAAATGTTTGCATCACTCATGCTATAATCAGATTTCTTAATAGCAAATGCTGTACTGTTGAAGAATAAACTTGTTGAAGAAACTTGTGTTCTCAAAAAAGATGTATTAAAGTTTGAGAAAATAAATTTGAAATAATGTTTTCATCAATTTGCTAAGAACTGCACAGACTTAGTATCTTTCCTACTTGAAATTTTTGAGTCTCAAATCCCTAACAATTTATCTCACTAAATTCCCCTAAAGCTTATAGAATTGTGTTGCCTAAAGAATGCAAGATTAGGCTCCATACTTGACTGAGGTTTTTGCACATCTGCATCTCTGCAATATCTTCAGCAATTTATGGACACCAGAATAAACTATTCACTCAAACGCAGCTACATACACATTTTTTTAATGCAACAAAACTTACGAAATTTGTAAAGCTGAATTAATTTCCTTGAGCAGCTCTTGGGTCTTATTAAAATCTGCCAGCATGCTTTGTTTCTCTCTGATGTGATCTGCTGTCAAGACATCCAGCTCTTTCTCATGTTTCTTGCTTAAATCTTGCTCATGTATCCTGTTTAATTTATTTTTTGTTAAAAAAAGAGTTATTCTAAAATCAGACTTGTTTGTTCATCATGATTTTCTGCCATGCTTCTAAGGGCTTTTACACAGCATCAGACAACACAGAAGGAATTACTGATTCATCAAATCCCACTACTTACTGTCCTCCAATCTTCTAGCTTATTTCGTGGAAAATGCATCTCCTTTAATGCTTTTTTAAATAAACAAACGTAATGAATTTTTAAAAAATAAAACAACACAAAACCAACACTTGAGCAGGCTGTTACTAAAATATGCCAAAACGTATTGCTGAAATGCAGCAATATGAACTGTATGGTAATATTCACTAACTTTACTAGTAATGAGCATAGCTTTTTCTAAAGAAGACTAAATGATATATAACACCATTTGATTAAGAGGATAAATTAAAAGCTACAAATGGTAAAATTTCTTAAGTAAAATAATTCATGAAACAAAACACATTTGAGTTTAGAGTCGAAAAATTCATACCTGATCTGTTGGTTGGATTCACTCCGTATTCTAAGAACTTCTTTCCCTTTAAACTCTAATTCCTTGGTCAATGCACTTATATTTTCATGAAGATGCAGAATCTCTTTGTCCAGTTCGGCTATATGATGGTCTCGGTGTCTCAGTTCGTCTTGTAGATCTGATATTCGGCATAAAAATTCTTTCTCCTATGATGTAAGTAGCAGCAGAAGAAAGTATTTTAAATAGAAACACAATACTTGATTTTGGAATATAACAGCTGAGCAGAATTTTCCATTCAATAGACATTTTTTTCAGTTTTTGATGCTGACACAAATTATAACTAAAACTGAGGTGTTTTTTATTGTGCAGAAGTAGAAATAAAGAAGAAATCAGTTATGTAAGAAACAATTTCTATTGGCGAGCAAATTTAAAATCTGTCATTGTCATTGCCTGTTTGCATAGCTCATCACATACTCCTTTTGCCCACACATACAACAAAAAACTAGATACCACTAAGAACCAGGAGACTGGACATACAGCATTTTCTACCTCTTCAACATATGATATAGAGAAACTGTTTTTCCCTTTACAGCCCCACTACAATGGGACGAAATAGTTCATGATGTACGCCCTGCACCAACAAACACTATGGCTCAGAAGTCTCCTGTCTTACTGTGCTGGTTTTGGCTGGGATAGAGCTAATTTTCTTCATTGTAGCTAGTATAGGCTATCCTGGCCAAAACCATCACATTTATATATACGGGTCATGATTATCTCACAGCAGGATACATGCTAAATAATTTATATACTATTTATATTGGTTCCAATAAATCAATAAAAGTCATTCTTTTTGCATAAGAAATTCCAATAAAGTTAATATCTGAGAACCTCATCTGGAACCCATCCCAATGGTTTTGATAATGATTCTCCTCAGTTTAGAAAAAGTCTGTAATAAAATGAACGTTTTTCAGTGTCTTCCATTTCCGTCTATTCCACTTCTTACAGTTTCACGGTAATGAATGACCATATAGTTTTCACAGAGAGAAAATCAGGAGATATTTTCAAAGTAGTTTTATGTATAATTGTGCTTTGTGCCTTCATGCATCCAGAAAATACAAATATATCCCAAAGCACAAATTTAATAGGACATCTTTAAGAACAGACCTTTACAAATAGCTCTCTACCTCCCTATAGAAAGATTAAAGTTATATAAGAAAAAACAGTGGAAAATTTGTATCCACAAACTTAAATATTACAAAAATAGCAAACAATCATCCTGCTCAGATCTCTCTGCATCTAGTTTAGCTCTGATCCTATGAACTGATGAACATTCTAACACAGGAAAACACGATTGCTTTGCCCTCAGTACAACTAAAGCTTGTGCTTAGCAGATCATTGTACTGAGGCCAAAAGTATATGGCATTTGGCTGGATCAAACACTTGCTCTTGTAATTTAAACTTACTTTCTTCTGACACTTCCTTTAGGTGTCTCACTCTAGGCCTAAACACAGGACTGAAACTACATCCTCCTAAATCCTGCATGTTTTTGTTCACTGCTGACAGCACCACATTTTTTGCCTCTAGTGCTCACATTTTTAAGCCAGCAGGGAAGAGAAAAAGAAGGGCTGATCTTTGACTGTCTCTGTTTTCATGTAAAGTCTATATCTGACTAAACCTGTTTCCTCTGATAATATATCTCTAAAATCATTCCACCTCCTTGATGCTGGACTATCAGTACATCAGTCCTGAAAAGCCTCTTTATATAGTCAAAGAAAGAAGTAATTTTCTGGTCCTCTTCCAGGAGTCTGGCTTGCTTTTGATAGAGATCAGGCTTTGAATTTTTAGTTACTACTGGAAAAAATGATTGTGTATGAAGCAAAAAAACGAAAGATAAAAGTGAATGAATCAGTTTGCTCCTGAAAGCAAAGGTAGCCCATACTGGCTTTGGGATTTGAGGGGTGGTTGTGTTTTTTCTGGGTTTGGGTGTGGTTTTTTTAACAGTTGCAAACTGTTACATCTTCTTTTCTGCTTTCTTTAGATGCTAATTCACCTTTTCCAATTTGGTTCCTGAAAAAAAAGATACTAAACTACCTCTTAAATTTGATGCAATCATTTGGTTCTAAGCAACCACTTCTTAGCCATATTACTTAGGCTTGGGAGAGAAATATCTTTTTTAAGTCCTGCCGGCAGCTGAGGGCAAGTAGAATTTTGCAAGAATCATAACTTTCCTCCCACTGAAAGCCAGTGTGCTCCCAGACAGCTGCACAATTCTGAGAGGAAACTGCTTTGATGCAGGAGCCTCTACTATGCTTTGAATGAAGTTTGTTGAAGGAAGAAGCTAAGCAAGGAGGTTTAGGTAAACTGGTAAGGATGTATTATCTGCTGGGGATGGCTGACTTTGAAGGATTACATGTTGTTCGCAACAGTTCTTGCCTCCATCTGAGAGAAAACAAATATGGATTATACAGTTTTACAGTCAGTTGCCAGCAATGCCTCCTACCTGTCGCCTGCCGAGTTCTATGCTTCTTTCTAGCTCCATTTTGGCAGCTACCAGTTCTTGTTGATGGTTGTGCCTTAGCTGGTCAATTGCTGCTGCATGCTGATGATTTAGCTCTGAGCGCAAGGAAGCTAGTTACCATGAACAAAAAGAAGGGTTTATTTTGCAAATGTTTACATTAATTAACAATAAAAGTCCAGGTCCTTCAAGTATTTCTGCTGACTTAACACACACTGTACATCAGCTAAGCAACTGTCTTGTCATTCTATTCCTGTTACTTTCTGAAACATTCTCCATCATGAAATTTGGCTGCTAACTCTTTCCAAAAAACTTAAGGGTAAGATTTTTTAAAAAGTGAACAGTTTGGGCTTATCTGTTAAAAGCTTATACTGATTTTAAGAGGAACAACTAAGTCAACGTTGAATGACTCTGCAATATACTACAGTATTATAATACACACACACACGCATAGATACATATGTGCATGCATATTTGTATGGGTAGAAATAACGTTTTGGGACCCACTTCCAAATTTGAAAATAGTATACCTAACATAGCTTTTCCTTCGTCCTCCAGCTCAAATCGCAGCGTCTGAAGTTCCTGTTCCATCTCCAATTTGAAACCTTCCATGGCTTGTTTATGTGTTTCTTTCAGCGCCTGTAGTTCTTCTGAGTGTTTCTGTTGTAACCGTTCTTCTAATTCCTATGAACTCAAAATTGATAAAATTTATTCTGTACCAGTTCAGGGAATTTATAAGATAATAAACAACTGGCATCAAAAAGCATACTCTAGAATTATTAAAAATGCACTAATATTGTTCATATTTTCTTCTCTCACTAAGTTATCTTACTACTATATTTTTTCTTTTCAGTGGCTGCCAGTTACCAAGACTATCTGTGCACAAAACTCCTGTTCTGGTCACAGTTGGAAAAAAAACCCAGTCTATGAATATATTTACAATAGCAAGGAATGTGGTAAGGTACAGACCCATTGATAGGTCTAGTGTGCATGCAATACACATTTGGGGATTTTTGCTCCCCATTGAAACTCATGTTTATTCTCTATTGAAATGTATGAAGCATAATGCTCCTGGTGAACCTCTTCTAGTTTCATTTTGAACAAAAGGAATCCTCCTTGTGTGCTCCAAGAGCAGTGTATGATGTGAATGAAAGTACATTAAGTGGGGACAATGGGAAAATTAATTGCAAAGGTACACTCTAGATTTGAACTTAAAAAAACCTTTAGACACACACCCTATTAAGTACCAAGTACTGCCAACATTTTTAAAGCTGGTTTAATAAAAGTTTTGAAAAAAATCTTGGGTGTGACATTATTCTGGATGTGAAAAATTATCTTGTAAATTGCAGAACACATTTTATACAACTTTTAACATAATGAAAATATAAACTACATTTCAACAGGAGTCAATTGACAGGAAGTATCAGAAAACACGTGCAAAATTAGGTAACTATAATGGAAAATCCAGAGAAACCTATTCCAAATCAAAACCAGAATATAATGTTATGGATAACTATGTCAAACTACTGTAAAGAAACGTGTGTGCTGATAATAATTTTGTATTTATATGCATATTCTGGTAGAGTATAAAGCAAGACATGAAACAATGCCAGTATTAGAGATGATTTTCAATATGTCTTAATCAGATTTAAATGGATAAGAATGTTACTATAAGACATCAGCTGAAAAGGAAATTTAGTAGTCATGCAGTTATTTTTCTTTACTAATGCCACCTGTGTACATAAATTGCTAAAATGGCGACATTGTCTACATAATTCAGAATATCCATATGAACATGCCTTTTGTTCTTGCTCTTTTGTTTCTTCCATGTTTTGAAAGGCAAGGATATGGGCTTCCTGAAGTGACTTATGCCTTTGCTGATGCTCCTCTTCTAATTCCTGGATCTCCTGAGTCAGCCTCTGTCGCTCCTGACTGAACTGGGCTTGTAGCTGTTGCAAAGAGCTCTGTGACTGGGAAAGCTGCATCTCCAGATTCTGCTTCAGTAAGGAGATCTAACCCACAACAGAACAACAAATATCCATTAGTCATTAATATTAACATCAACTCTGAGAAAAACATTCAAAAGAATATAACACAATTTTAAAGCCAGAACGTTAACTAAAAGACAGACAAGCAATGTCATCCATCTACTGAATTTGTTGTTAATATTGTATCTCAAAGATAGTTTTGTAAGGCTTCTCACATCTATCAGTTCATACTACTGCACTACCTATAACATTTTTTCATGGCCAAATAATCAAAATTCACTTCTAGGTTTTGTAGAAAAGTCAATAAAAATGACACTATCACAGTCTGAAATCAAATGCTTGACTTAAGATAAACTACACTTCAGGGGAACATCACATCAATTCTGTAAGGAAAATCCTGCTGTTGATACAGGAGGATAGCCTGTAACATCTAGATTGATTGATTTTTTTGTATCTTTTGATATGATATGATCCTATCTTACTGGTAGTTTTCTCATTTAAAAATAAATGGTAGCATACCACTCTATATCACAAATAAAATGTTACACTTGATGGATTCCCCACACACACTTATTTTTGTTAGCTCAGTAATACTATGAGTGATTTTTCTGCTGGCTTTCAAGATCTAAGATCTAAGCAATCTGAGACAAAAATACTCTTTTTTTTAAAAAAAATACCTGATTTTACAAATGATGTTTTTCAACCAAAGAGCATTTTAATACATTGGAGTATACAGTACTCCTTGAAAAGCCCCATTTTCTTTTTGTAATAATGCTATGCTTTGTTCTTCACATCAGCTAGCATCTTTTCAAACTGAAAATATGAAATCTGTATTCCCTTTAGAGCCAAACACAAGAGAGATACCCTTCAATTGTGTAAAACAGATTTAACCAAAAGAGGATCTTGTTACAGCGACTCGAAGGAAAAATAAAATTGCTATGTAATGAAGAATTTGAATCAATAAAGATACTTTCCAACGCTCAGAGCGTTACATAAAATTTAACTATAAATGAAAGTCCGATAGTGTCATTTGATTCAAGAATATCTTAAAATTAATTATGATATATCAATGATGACATTGCACATCAATTTATTAATTTACAGAACATTAAAACCCACCACTTAACAAAAAATTAATAGCAGCATATGAAGGAAACTTGCAGCATGAACAGTATTGTCGAACATATGTTGGGTTTTTTTCAGAAGGACACAGCTCAAGCAGATTTGAAAGAAAAAGGCTACACTTAAAGGAAAATTAGCACTTAAACAAAACAAGCAAATTAATTTGAATGAAATAAGCATGGCTCATCACAGTTCAAATTCATCAGGTGTTTCTGGCCAGGCATATATACTCTACCCTCTAAATAGACCATATCAACAGTATTTTACTTCAGATACCTTTGAAACAGATTAGCTACAAATGAAGGAGTACAGTGAAGGCCCATACTACATTCTCTAATTAGAACTATACACATAAAACTTTTTACTAAGTACATTAAAAATAAATATCATATACAAATTGTACCGTGTCAGACCAAAGGTTTGTCTAATCTCCTGTTCTGCCTCCAGAAATAGCCAACCTGGGTTATGCAGGGAAAACAAGGCCAAGGAATGAATGTAGGGATCTTGACTCCAAATTCTATCAGCATCCAGCAATTTTTCTTAAATCAGAAGAGGTATTTTGGGGAAAATTCATGGAAGAAATATTAATTAAAAACAACCACTACCTGAATGCTTAAAAGCTTTTAGTATCCACAATATCCTGTTGCAAGTTCTACATAGATGTGCCAAACTGACATCATAACCTCTAATACTTGTAATGGAAAGGAGTCAAAAGAAGTTCCCTTTTCATTTACTCTGTTCTACTCATGTTTCTGTATATCTCCATCATTTCCCTCGTTACACCCTTTTTCATATGAAACAGTTGTGGCTTAGTGAGTCACTCCCTATATGAAAGCTGAGAGTAAACTCTGGTTTTATATAGTAGTATATATGATTTTATATGTTACGGTCTCTGTTTCTCTCTTATATTCCTAATGTTTTATTTGCTTTTGTGACTCCTACTGAGCACTGAGGTGATATTTTCATGGAATTACGTATCACAGTCCCTGAACCTACTTTCTAGTTGTAACAGGTCAAGGTAAGGGTCATCATTTTACACAAGAAGTTAGAATTATTTTTTTTTCCTTGTGTACCACTTTGCATTTATCTACACTGAATTTTATCTGTCATTTTATTGCCAAGTCCCTTGGCTTTTTACAGCTATTCAATAATTCTTCAGTCTTTGTCCTTCCCACCCTGCCTAACTTTCTATAACCTGCAGACTTTCCTACCTTAGTTATTCATAAACAACCCACAAAAGAAAATACGTTGAACATCCGTGTAACTCCACTGATAAATCTACTTTCACTGTGGTAATGCTGTATTTAATACCTTTTTTTCAACCACTTATCTATACAAAAACTTCCCTCTTGTATCATGGAGTTCTCTTTTCCTCAGAAGCCTTAGAACTTTCTGGCTGATCTCCTTCAGCATACCATGGCCAGGGCTGCCATGCTGGTCAGACAAACCAATAACACAACCACTCATTGTATTCTTTCTTTTCAACCCTAGAAACTCACTCCACTGATGTGATTAATTTCCACCATGCAAGTGCCAGCCTGGCCAGCTCTGCATCTTCATCTACGCATCATCATCTGGTATTGCAATGTGCTATGGTCTTCCTTCTCCAGAAAAAAAAAAAAAAAGATTTATCTTATCTAAAGTCCCCTGCGATCTACTCACATCCCCCATCTACTCTAATTCATCCCATATATACTTTTGGGCCCCTTTCTCTTTCCACACCTTTCTGTAACCTCCTACCTACCTGAGTCCTTCTTTTCACCCATAAGTGTTGCCTTTATAAAAAGGGAAGAATCACAAAAAGGAAGCCTACAGAGGGTGGAAGCAAGGACAGGTAGCCTGGGAGGAATACAGAGAAATTGTGTAACTAGCCATGGATCAGGTTAGGAAGACCAAAGCCCTGATAGAATTAAATCTGGCCAGGGATGTGAAGAGCAAAAAGCAAAGATTCTGTAGGTACTCTGGATAAAATAAAGACTAGGAAAAATGCAGGCCCAGGATATGGAGAAGGCTGAGGTACCCAATGACCCTTTTTGCCTCAGTCTTCACCAGGAAGTGCTCTGGCCACACCGCCCAATATGTAGAAGGCAGAGACAGGAACTGGGAGAATGAACAAGCGCCCACTCTAGGAGATCATGTTTAAGACCATCTAAGGAACCTGAAGGTGCACAAGTCCATGGGACCTGATGGGATGCATCCACGGATCCTGAGGGAATTGGCAGATGAAGTGGCTCAGCCAATATCCACTGTATTTGAGAAGTCCTGGTAGTCCGGTGAAATTCCTGCTGACTGGAAAAGGGGAAACATAACTCCCATTTTTAAAAAGGGAAAAAAGGAAGACACAGAGAACTACAGACCTGTCAGTCTCACCTCTGTGCCCGGCAAGATCATGGAGCAGATCCTCCTGGAAACTATGCTAGGGCAGATGGAAAATAAGGAGGTGATTGGTGACAGCCAACAGGGCTTCACTAAGGGCAAATCATGCCTGACAAATCAAGTGGCTTTCTATGATGGGGTTACAGAGTTGGTGAATAAGGGAAGAGCAACTGATGTCATCTTACCTGGACTTGTGCAAAGCATTTGACACTGCCCCACATGACATCCTTGTCTCTAAACTGGAGGGACGTGGATTGGATGGATGGATGGACAGACCACTCAATGGATAAGAAACTGGCTGGATGGTCACACTCAGAGTTACAGTCAACAGCTCGATGTCTAAGTGGAGAGCAGTGACAAGTCATGTTCCTCAGGGGTCAGTGTTGGGACCAGTGCTGTTTAACACCTTTGTCAGAGACTTGGACAGTGGATTGAGTGCACCCTCTGCAAGTTTACCAACGACACCAAGCTGTGTGGTGCAGTTGACACACTGGAGGGAAGGGAGATGCCATCCAGAGGAACCTGGGGACAGGCTGGAGAGGTGGGCCTGTGCAAACCTCATGAAGGTCAACAAGGCCAAGTGCAAGGTCCTGCACATGGGTCAGGGCAATCCCAAGCACAAATACAGGCTAGGTGATGAGTCGACTAAGAGCAGCCCTGAGAAGGACTTAAGGATGTTGGCTGATGAGAAGCTCATGACCTGGCAATGTGCACTTGCAGCCTAGAAAGCCAACCATGTCCTGGGCTGCATCAAAAAAAGCATGACCAGCAGGTCAAGGGAAGTGATTTTCCCCCTCTACTCTGCTCTTGTGGGACCCCACCTGGAGTCCTGTGTCCAGCTCTGGGGCCCCCAACATAAGGAGGACACAGACTGCTTGAGTGGGTCCAGAGGAGGCCACAAAGATGATCAGGGAGGTAGAGCACCTCCCTTATGAGGACAGGCTGAGAGAGTTGGGTCTGTTCTGCCTGAAGAAAAGGCTCAAGGGAGACCTTATAGCAGCCTTTCAGTACCTAAAGGGGACCAACAGGAAAGATGGGGAGGGACTCTTGATCAGTGCATGTAGTGGTAGGACAAGGGGTAACAGTGTTAAACTGAGAGAGGGTAGATTTAGATGAGATATAAGGAAGAAATTCTTCCCTGTGAGGGTGGTGAGGCACTGGAACAGGTTGTTCAGAGAGGCTGTGGCTGCCCCCTCCCTGGCAGTGTTCAAGGCCAGGTTGGACAGGGCTTTGAGCAACCTGGTCTAGTGGAAGGTATCCCCACCCATCAGAGGGCTTGGAACTAGGTGATCTTTAAGGTTCCAACCCAAATCATTCCATGATTCTATGATTTATTTCCTGTTTCTCTGGAGACTACAGCTCATGAAAACCAGACCCTGTCTAGAGGTCCAGTTTTGCTCTGTGCTGCTAGGTAACTCCTACGTTTCTTTAGATTACCTCTATTCTTATTTATCCACCATAAATTATAATTTTTGTTGGGTTTTTTTGTTTGTTTGTTTGCTTCCCTGAGATCACTACTGTCACTT